AGGGGGGTGATGTTTTGGCACAGTGGGTTAAAGCCTTGGTCTGCAGTCATATGCATCCCATATGAACACCAGTTCAAGTCCCAGCTGCTCCACTTCCCATCCACATCTCTGCTATGGTCTGGGAAAGCAGTAGAAGATGGTCCAAGTCCTTGGGCCCCTGCAACCACATGGGAGACCTGGAGGAAGCTCCTGGCTTTGGATTGGCACAGATCCAGCCACTGCAGCCATCTGGCGAATGAACCAATGTATGGAAAACTGACCTCTGTCTCTCTGCCTCTGCCTCTCTGTAACTCTGCCTTTCAAATAAATAAAATATTTTAAAAAAAGGAGTCTTAGAAGTGGTTTTTAAAAATGCATGGTCTTTGAGGCATATCCTGAAAAGTCCATACAAAGCTTTGTGAAAGAGTCTAATGAGAAATCATCTTAAGTCTTTCTAACGCCTTAAGAAAGATTTTGTGGTCACACACTTGACTTCATAATTGCTGAGGTCACATTTTCTGGAGGGTAACAGATTTCTGGATTTGATCTTTGTCCTGAGAATCTCTTATTTTTGAATCTTCTCCTGGGACAGACTAAGGATGGGAAAGAGTTATATTTCTGAACCCAGCAAATCTGGCCCATTTTTTTGTTTGTTTTCTTTCTGTTTAAAATTAAACAAGTTTTAGGCCAGCGCCATGGCTCACTTGGCTAATCTTCCGCCTGCGGCACCGGCACCCCAGGTTCTAATCCCAGTCGGGGCACGGGATTCTGTCCCAGTTGTTCCTCTTCCAGTCCAGCTCTCTGCTCTGGCCCGGGAGTGCAGTGGAGGATGGCCCAAGTCCTTGGGCCCTGTACCCGCATGGGAGAACAGGAGGAAGCACCTGGCTCCTGGCTTCAGATCTGCGCAGCACGCCGCCCATAGCAGCCATTTTGGGGGTGAACCAATGGAAGGAAGACCTTTCTCTGTCTCTCTCTCTCACACTGTCTAACTCTGCCTGTCAAAAGAAAAAAAAATAAACAATTTTTTTTTCTTTAACTCCTATGTCTTTGTTTTCATCTTATGGCATGCATCTAAAATAAATTAGTCTTCCTTTTCAACATGTATACCAGAAATATTCTTAGCCAGATCAATTTATTTACCATTTCTAATCTCTATTGGTGATAGATTTCCTAACTTTCCACTCCTCCTATTCAAGCTCTCCTATCTTACAGGCTCAGATACCATTTCACTTATTCCTCTTTATGCCTTCATTGAATGCCTCTCTGGGGCTCACTGGTCCTGGTGACACCCTTTTTCAAGGCAAGAAAAATCTGTTACTCTCCCTATATACCAAAACCACCACAAATCTATTTGTATGAAACAGAATTCATTTTGTTTTTGCTCTTGATTTTGTTCAGCAGTAACTTTGGGAAAGACTCAATTGGGCAGATCCTGTGAGGGTTCTTTATTGAAGCTAGGGTCAAATGTTGGTAAGTACTACAGTTTTTTAGCAGCTTGGTTGGGCTGGCTGCCGAGGACTCATTTTCATGTCCAGCAGTTATCTGACAACATTAGCTGTCAATGGGGAACTCAGCTCAGCTCTCAATCAGAATTTCTACAAATGGCTAACTTTCTACTTTGAGCTTTGCCTCCTCACGTTATGGTAGATTGCAGTAGTTGAACATCTTACATGGAGATTCAGGACCCCACCTCAAGTGTTCTCATGAATAAAATAAAAACTGCATCAGCTTTTACTAGCCAGCTTTAGAAATCACATAACATCATTTTTCTTTTTGTTCATGAGTCAGCATAGTTAGAAATCCACCTGGATTTAAAGTGAGGGAATGTGTACCACATCTTCATGGAAGGAAGGTCTAATAATATTGCAGCCACTCAGAAACACCCAACACAGGGGGCTGTGCTGTCTAGCTTTCTCATGCTTCACCAGCCTTACCCTAGTCTCAGACACAGAGGGGAGTTCCCTAAGCCTTTGTTAAGGTAATGGATTTTGGAAAGGAAAACAAAGAAATTCTGTAGGTGTTGATAAAACAAGTGAGAAATTATGTGAAGCTTCTACCCCTAGGATCTTCAAGAGGAAAAGAGCTACTACTATTGACTTACTATTAGCTACCTTGCATGATGTAAGCCCCTGTCTGCCTAAAAGCAAAGGGCTAGCCCTGGTGTGGTTCTTTTAGTACTTTCCTCCTTTTTTTTAGTACCCTCGGCCCAAGGTATATTCCTACATTGCCGTATCTTTCAGTAAGGTTCCCATACTCCAAGAATATATTGGAGTTATGCTGACCTGGTAGCAGCCTCATGTAGCATATGGCAAGCAAGCAGGCAATCTGGAAAAACTGTGCATGCTCACCAAGTACTCTATTTTAAGGGGCAACATTGGCCACACAGATATCCAGTTCAATGTGCTTCTCTGTTCCATATTTGTATGAATATAATATGGTGTATAAATTTCCTTACACAACTATATACCAAGAATACTTCATAGGGAGGAGAAGGGCTTTAGGAATATCAAAACACCAATCAAATACCTAGTCTCTAAGCTAGGATGAGTTTCAGTAAATGTACTTTTCATACAATATCCAAATAAGACAAAAGCTTCAAAAATCTCTGTTATTGTCCCTTAACACTCTCCACTAGGAAGTTACCACATTTGTAAGAGGAAATATCTACTGAGAAATGTCAGGCATCTTGTTTGAATCCTCTGAAACAAAACAATTTCTGTGATGCACATACAGCGATGCCAAGAAGTCCATCTGACAGCCAGAATTTCATCCTTTAAATACCTTGTTATTGCAGCACAAAGGAACACAATGAGACTTGTTTGGAGTGTCAGTCTTCCATCTCTGGACTAAGGGATTAGGTCTAAATTGCACATCACTGCACACATAAGACTGTGCATGAGAATGTTTGCTTCTTTTGTCCTTAAAAGTACTTGGTGTTTTATAAATAGCCAAATATATCAATTGGACTAAAGAAATCCATTCAGAGAGCCATAGGGAGTAGATTTATCAGGCATTCCAATTTATGTTGTTTATTTAACTATAAAATTTGTGAGGATTTTCAAATACAACTGCTGTTTGTTGGGCACAGCAAGGTGTTGAGGAGAAACCATACACTGTATGCGTTAAAAGCATGACTGTTAGGAGCCAGTGTTGTCGCACAGCAGGTTAATGCCCTGGCCTCAAGTGCCAGCATCCTGTATGGGCGCTGGTTCTAGTCCTGGCTGTTCTACTTCCAGTCCAGTTCTCTGCTATGGCCTGGGAAAGCAGAAGAAGATGGCCCAAGTGCTTGGGCCCCTGAACCCGCATGGGAGACTTGGAGAAAGTTCCTGGCTCCTGGCTTCAGATCACTGTGGCCATTGTGGCCAACTGGGGAGTGAACCAATGGATGGAAGACCTCTCTCTCTGTCACTCCTCTCTCTGTGTAACTCTGACTTTCAAATAAATAAATAAATCTTTTTTAAAAAAGGCATGAATGTTAGAGTATGATCTGGCATTAGCACTTCTGGTAAATAATTGTGACTTTAGGAAATTTAGTTAACCTTTCTATGGCTCATTTTCCTCATCTACAATATGGAGGGAAATTATCTTCTAGAGTTATTCTAAGGATAAAATGATATAACATGTTATTCCCTTGTCAGTGATTGATACAGACTAGATACAGAGTTAATAAGTCTAATAAATACTTTAAAAGGTTGTGTGTGTATTTGTGCATGTGTGTGTGTATGTGTGAGAGAGAGAGAGACAGAGAGGGCTCTTATGAGAATATTTTTGGAACAGCACATGGGGAACATTGTTGGAGACACAAGATGCATACAATAGTCACTTGTTAATTTATTGTTGATGGGGTATTGAATTTTATAGATCGTAGAACAGGACAGGAATGGAATGTCAAACAGCATATGAAGATTCATGTCATTATGAGAGAGTCACTTGTCTCTTATACACAGCACCAAGTAGAAAGTTGGCAATATTTCCCACATCCTGCCCTCCTCCTATTTCCATTCCAGTTGTACCTTTGCACACCCCCGGGCCCCTGGTACTTCTATGCATCCAATGTCAGATGTCTGTCCTTAGAACAAAAACATATTCCTTAGAACAATGTCTATTACATGAAACAGTTGGCGTCATCAGGCTATTAAGTGTCACTGCAATCAACTTAGATTTTCATTTTATTATGAGAGGAATGTTCAGTATCATATAGAAATTAAAGAGAAAATAAGAAAAATAAAAGAGAAAAAATAAAGAGAAATTAAAGAGAAATAAAGGTTGGAGAAGGACTGGAGGAAGCTTTTTAAAATAATCATTTATTCATTTGATAGGGAGGGAGAGGCAGTGAAGAGAGAGCAAGTGAGCTCCCATCCACTGGTTCACTTCCTCAAGGCCTGCAATGGAGCCTAAAGTCAGGAGTTGGGAACCCAATCCAATGATTTCACCTGAGTGGCAGAAACCTGCTGCCTCCCAGGGTGCACACTGTAGAAAGACAGATTGGGAAGCAGAGACGGGACTATAACCCAGGTACTCCACTATAGATGTAGGTGTCCCAACCCATGTCTTAACCATTGTGCCAAAGGCTTGCCCCTGGAGAAAAGATTTTGGGGTAAGCAAAGCCTTTTATTATCTTTTGAAATGAATTAATGAGTCCTCCTTGTTTTCATTGCCTACATGTTAGGCCATATGCAGTAAAAGACACTGTAATATAATGCAGCAATCTTGTTATTATTTATCAGTTTAATTATTTCTATAATTTAAGGATAATTTCTATAATGGTTTTATTTAAAAAAAAGCAAGTATAGCCTAGCACAGAAATGGTAAATTCAAGGATTTTTCACAAAAAATGGTTTTCATTTTATCTATTGTTCTATTCAAATACAATTCTTTTAACACCCTTCTCACAACCTTTTAACATATTACTAATGAAACTATGCACCTTGATAAAATGTTTCCTGTATTTCATTCCTCAAGGCTAAGGTGACACAATTATTAGCTTTCAATAGAGTTAAACAATAACCACCCATGCTTACCTTTGTGAAAGAATGGAAAACAAATGCACCTTGAAGCATTATCACATTTGAAAGGGCTTCCATACTTTGGCTTTTTGTTATTTTTCCTTTTCCTAGAAGAGCACAAAAAATTTATTTTAAAAGCAAAAGTTTCAAATAGATTTTTTCTTCACTTTTAGTGATAAATACATCCTTTCTATCCCTAAATCTTAACCATGTCAAGCTTTCTAATTGAGACAGTCTTTAATCCTGGGTGGCTGTAGTAGTAGTAGTAGTAGTAGTAGTAGTAGTAGTAGTAGTAGTAGTAGTAGTTAGAATGTTCCAGGTAGCATTCTATATGTGGAGGACAGAACAGTAACTGAGATAATAAAAATTCCAGCCATCAGGGATTATGGTTTGATGAATGGAGACAGAAAATGAAAAATATAAGTAAATCTAAGATGTGGGAATAAATAAAAAGGAGGAAACTAAGTCAAAAGAGGGAACAGTCCCTGGGGTTGGGCAGGGAAGGGTTTCTGAGAAGACAACAGTTAAGGAGTGGTGTGAGAAAGTAGAAAAGGAAGCTGCTTAAGGACACTGAGTAGCCAAGTGGAGTCAGCTGGGGCTACAAGTGGTGAGAAATGAAGAATCTGAGGAGGACAGCCTGGTAGCCTATTGTGAGGACTCTGGCTTGACTTCTATGCCATGGCATTAAGTGGCATTTCAGGGATGAGATAGGAAGCAATTTAAGCCCTGTCTTCTTCTTCTATTGGCCTCTAATAATTCATTCTTCACACTTCATTCTGTTTTCTGGCCCAGTAAAACACAGCTGTATTTTACAATCTTTTCCTCATGGCTATATATATATATATATATTTTTTTTTTCCTCCTCTTTAATCATCCAAATGTACCCTCTGTTAGAAGTAAAGATCCCAGCTCCCTGAGTTTTCCTGGAACAGGAGTAACCAAGACTGGCCCTAAGCCCACCATGTCAGTGCTGTGAATCTACTAAAATGCAGATTCCTTGACCTCACTCAAGACACATTCAATGTCTTTGGGACTAGGGCTTGAGAATCTACATGTCACTTCTTTTTTGTAAAGTCTGAAAATTAGAATCTTAGATGACAGAAAGAGCAGCCTCCTGGGGGACATTCAGTTCCTTAAACCCAATTTTTCTTTGCTCCAAAGTGCAGAATTCAGAAATACTTTGGTTCTGGTGCATCTTGATTAACTACAATCTGCTAATCTTTTTTTCCAATTTTTATTCAATGCTTATAAGATGTTTTAATTTGTGAAATATATCATCACTCAATACTATCAGTAAGAATGATCTTATAGTCTTTCTCAGTTTGTTTAATGAGCCTTGATAAACCATTTATAAATTTATAAATTGTGGAAGGATTATCTACAACTTCTTTTTTTTTGTATAACAGCACATTTTATTTTTTGTAGCTAATACTTACACGATAAGCAATTTTTTAGCATTTTATTTGAATTACAAATAAAGATATCCCAAAGTTATAACAAACACTGCTCATCATGCTATGGTTTTATGCTGTTCAAGTTGAATTTCGAGGAATTTCTGGGAGTTATAGATGGGAAATGCTTCTGTGCAGTAGACTGATGTAGAACATTTCCCAACAACTTATGCACCACCACTTTCAGAGTATACCCAATCTTCTAGAAGAGACTAGACGGATGCTTCTGAGTATTTCTCTTACAATTTACAGAGTTCAGCACTTTTAAACAAATATACTCTGGTTTTTGTTTTGTTTTGTTTGTAGATTTCATAGGTTAATTTTTCCCTGTGCCAGAATTTGCTATTTCAAGATACTGGGGCCAATCAAGATGGTCAGAAAAAAAGCAAGGGAGGCCATGTCATGTACTAAGCAGATAATAAATATATAGCTCAGTAGCCAAATTCAGTCATTTCTAAGGAGATTGTCTTTTTTGCATCTCTTACTAATGATTTTTGAATCATTTCCTACAGAGGGAGGGTTTCACAGTTTGATTGGAAGCTCTGCCTAATGCATTGGACTAAGATTTAAGATTATATGCATTCCAAACTGGAGAGTATCAGAACTTGGAGTCTTTATGTCCTACTTTGGCCAGACTGTTTATGACAAATGCACAAAGGCATACATGTCCTCTCAAATACTAATATTTTCAGCTGCTGGTTAAAAAGATATCTTAGGGGTACAAGCAGATGGAAGATTCTCTCTCTCTCTCTCTTCTCTCTGCCTCTCCTTCTCTCTGTGTAATCTGACTTTCAAATAAATAAATCTTTAAAAAAAAGATATCTTTAGTGGTTCCTAAAGCAAATGGCCCCTACATTTTAAGACTATATGAATGGCTTGTGAATCTTAATTCAATGCATATAATAAAATGTCTCACAAAGAAAGACTTTTGAAGAATTTCTGCTTTTCTGCCTTTGATCAATTTTTAAGTCAATGAATTTTACACAAATTATTTTTCAGAAGGATAAATAAATTTTTCACTTTTCAAAGTAATTGTATGTTTTCATTTGTTAGTGGAAGGGCTTACTAAAGTTCTAGAAATTAGAGATATTACATGGAAAATAAGGAGTCATCTGTTAAAAAGAGAAATATTGTATATACCTCAAAAGCCTTCATTTATATGACTTTAGATTTTAAAATAAGGATCATACAAGATTTAGAAAACCTAAATTTCCAAAGAACTTTGAAATGTGTTAAATAATACTAATAACAACAATGATGAGGTATCAATACAGCTAAACTTTGTATACTTACCCTCTGCCCGGCATTGTTTTAAGAAGCTTTACATACGTAATCTTAGTCCTCATGACAACCTCATGATGTAAATATTACTAACTTCATTTAACAGTTAAGGAAACTGAGATACAAAATGTTTCACAGATCTGCCTAAGGTCATGGTGCTAGCAAGTAGAAGAGTCAGTACTAAGGCTGAAGAAACACTTGTAAAATCATCCCACCCAGTTCTAACCATGCAAAGTGTACACAGCTGCTGAGAGTTGATGTGAAGGTGCCAGAAGGTCTACTCCAATACATTACCTGCAGCAGTTTACAGCACTGCCTGAAATTCCCACCAGTGCAGTGTTTGTACTAACAGACTGCCTCCAAAAGAATACGATTTAAAAATGCTACCTAAGAGGAGTCGCCCACCAAGGACAGCTAAACAGGATAGATACACTTTAGGAAGATCCAGATGATAAAAGAAGAAAAAAAAAAAAAAAAGACAACAAAAGGGGTGTTGCAGGTAAAACACTGAGGTATACTTTTGTTCAATCCAGGCAAAGTGGAGAGTAACGAAGTTTAACTTCATCTAATTTGGCTTTGTCTAGATGTAGAAAATATACATCATAGTTTTCCTTAGTTGAGAGATATAACCATAGGTAGTTAAATATAAAGGGAACTTTGTTTCTGGTATTTTGATTAATAATAAAATTTATCGAGATTGACATATTTCCTCACATCTATCTTTTTGAATTAAGGTTCTTAAATAGAATATCCCACATATGGACCCCTATGGACAGATGAAGTTTCAAACATGTATGTGAGAATACAGACCACCCCAAGGACACGATCCAAATTCATTGCATTCTAAGTGTGAGTCCCTCAACTGTCAAATTAGCATAAAACTAACCTCTCACAGCTGTACTTCTTATATATCACCTAAAATTAGTGCCTGCTGGAAGTGTCTTTAATATCTAAGAGAACATAGCATACAACTGTCTTAAATTTTGTGTTCTAATGAGTATCAGCAACTACACATTTCAGTTGATATTTTAGAAAACAAGTATGGTGTTGAAAATGATCAAGACTATGATAACATAACATACCACTGGCTTGCTAGAACTAACTTTAACCTTTTCACCATATTTTTTGCATCAACAAATGCAGTCATTCAGAATTGGGGCTTTGAGTACAGAATAGGCAACAAAGAAGTGAGACAGGTATGCCAATAGGTGTTCTTAGGAAAGAGTTAGGTAATTGGAATAAGCAATCTATTAATTAAAAATGCTTTCCAAAATGAACAATGTGATCTGACTTTCTTGCTGAGTTATTACCAGGTTCTTTTCAGTTCTTAAGGCATTTTCGTTACTCTGTTTAACAACAAATGTGGGCCAGTTGCTGTGAGTTAATTGAAAAGGATTGTTTTCTAGTTGCCAAGAAACGGGGCTTTCTTACATTATGCAGGCCATTATGTGCACAGATCAAGCTTCCTGATTTTCTTTCAGGGTTTAAGAATATAGGCTGCTGTGATTTAGTTGTCCCTTGAGGAGAGGAGCACATATCAAGAAGGCTTTCAGGAGTGTTGTTCCATTTCAATTTACCAGGTAAGATTTGGATTTGAAAGTGCTACTTTCCTCCTTGTGCTTAACTTTTCTTAAATCACTTATATGCTTTTATCTTGAGTTAATGAGTAGGTCTACAAGAAAGATTTTCACTGTAGTTGTTTCATGTAAAATCACGTTAAACTGCTTTTCTTCCAGTTGAAGATTCTGATGAAAATAGAAGAGTGGAGATAGTAAGAGATATCTAAAACATTGGATCTACAGTTTATTGCTTCCTGATTTCAGAATAGTAGATATACATAAACCAAGAGATTGTGTTTTTAGAGTTGAAATATCGATATTATTGTTTTGAAAGAAAATATTCCTTCTATTTGGAGAAAACATTTTAAATCTTCACTGGTTGCAACTCTGATGGGCTTTATATTTTATTAACTTCAAGATCTATTGAACTTTCACATAAGTCTAACTTGATTACTTGTATCTCTTTTTAAAAGCACCTATATATATTTTCATTTGTTTTTTCATTTTATCTGTTGGCTATTTTCTTGATAACTTTGTTTTAATGATGAGGATACAACCAGGGTCAATGCACTGAGGTAGCTTGCTATGAGGTATGACACAAACAAACAGAGAAAGCATCATTCGTCATACTTAGGAAGGAAAATAGCTTTTCTTGATTCCAACTTTAGGCTCACAAAGGCAGGGCTCACTAAAGGTAATAAAATGGGGCAAGGTGGAAATCGACTCTGTGAGTTGTGTTTGCTGGGGTAAATCATCTTCCCAATGGAAGCTCACACTTTCAAAGGCTTTGTTTTGAATTCAGTCATTCAATAAGTTCACACTAAATGTGACAAAGTTTTCATAAACTCTACCTTGAAAATAGGTGTTGGCAACTTTGTAGTTGATCCTGGTTGAAGGCTGTTATTGATCCTACCTTTCAAAGTTATATGTTTCTGCCTTCCCCAAGGAACAAAGTTCCTTTAAGATCATTAAAATGTTACAAGTTAGGCCAAATATTTGTTGTTTCGTTAGTTCAGTTTCCATTTGTTCAGGGTTTGCAGCCATCTAAGTTCAAATATGGTCTGAGTAATGTGAACCTTCACTGATGCTGGGAAGAAATTATTACAGCATGCCTTTACCTGATATCATGATTTGAGTTTTCCATAGTGAACCAAGACTTTGGTTGGGAAATTATGACGTGGAATAATGTCGATGAAATGATAGTTAAATATGAACTCATGTAATCCATTAATTCTTTTACATTTATTTTTAATAGGCATAATTATGTGTAGGTATTTATGGCATATAGTATATTTTGATACAATATAATGACCAAATCAGAGTAATTAGCATATTATAGTTACATCAGCTATCTCAAATTCACTGCACTGTATTTTTGATTTATATAGTACTAAAATCAAAGCAGTCCATTTAAATAAATGTATAATGTGTGTTTATGGAATACCTGGTGTAATTTATTACTACTTTTAGTTTTTTTTTTTTTTTTTTTTGGACAGGCAGAGTTAGTGATAGAGAGACAGAGAGAAAGGTCTTCCTTTTCCTTTTCCGTTGGTTCACCCCTCAGTGGCTGCTGTGGCCGGCGTGCTGCGCCGATCCGAGGCCAGGAGCCAGGTGCTTCCTCCTGGTCTCCCATGTGGGTCTCCAAGTGCTTGGGCCATCCTCCACTGCCTTCCCGGGCCACAGCAGAGAGCTAGACTGGAAGAGGAGCAACCGGGACAAGAACCTGGGGTGCCAGCGCCACAGGCGGAGGATTAGCCAAGTGAGCCACGGCACCAGACTACTACTTTTAGTTTTATTAAGACTATACACTTGCTTCCAGGTAAGAAGTGATTAAACAATTTTACTCAAGTTTATACAATTCTCTTCACCTTGTTAAAAATTGCTCTTCACCCTGAAAATGTACTTTTGATATTATTGGTACTATAATGCTGGTAAATTTTTTGCTTAGTCATATTTTGTAATTGTTAGAGCAGGGTGAAATGTGGGATGGGTGGAGTGGTGCAAAAGTCACACTGGTACAATATCTTATAGATATTCTTTCCCTTATCTAGTAAACCATTTCTTGTTTGTCAGTTTGTCTTGTTTGGCAGTAGAATGATTGTGATATTAAAAAACTATATAGGAAATATTTAATAGTGCAGCAAAACATTGATCTTGTTTTGAGTGTTCTGTTCTTGTTAAATACATATTAACTGATACTTATTTACTTCTCTGGATTTTAAAAATTATGTAAAGAAATGAGATCCTTTCTTGGGATTTCTTGTGATGGAGACATTCTAAAAAATGTTTGTTCAAGGGTGGGTGTTGGCATAACAGTGAAGATGCCACTTGGATGTCAACATCCATAACAGTGAAGATGCCACTTGGATGCCAACATCCATAACAGAGTTGCTGGGCTCAAGTCTGGCTCTGTTTCTGATTCCAGCTTCCTGATAATGCACATCCTAGGAGGCAGTAGGTAATGGCTGGCATTCCTGGCTCCTGGCTTCAGCCTGGCTCAGCTCTGGCTGTTAAGAGTAAACCAGAAGATGGAAGATCTTTCTCTGTCTATCTCTGTCTCTCTTTCTTTCAAATAAAATGAAAATAAATAAAAACATTTTAAAAAAAGATAAGCTTAATTAAGCTTATTTTTTAAAAAGACTTAATTGCATTGATAATTTGTAGATCATAGTAACTGAAATACTACAAAATGATAAATGGCTTGGAAACTTTGAGAAACTCTAGAGATTCCCAATGCATTATGACAAGGATGGGTGTATGACTGGAGGGAATTATTAGCTGGTGTGTGGAAAAAATATACGATACTATCAACTGGCCCAAGCCTTTCAACTTTGTCTGCAAGAACACAGATAGTCTAAAAGGATATGAAAAACCCTTCACAGAAATCAAGGTACACGACCATTCAAGATGGTTTCTACGATTCAAGAAACCCAGGGAAGTATGAGGTCAATTTGACATTGTGAACTTGAGAGGGGTTTTGATAGTTTTCAATTGTAGGCACTCAGCATTTCTTTTAATTGTTTTAAAATTAGTTCAAGTATTTTTACTAAGTAACATCAATTTTTAACACCACTCTTTAGTTTTTAAAAACTGCAATATCTATCTTATGGCACTTCTTTTAAACATCATTTCAAAGATTTTAAAAACATTGTGCCTTTGCTAATTTACCTGTGGTCTTTTGATTAGAAATTTACCTAAGCTTAGAGATTCAGAATAATACATAAAGTGATAAAATGCCTTCTTACTCTCTACTTCCCAAAAATGTGCTTTCAGTAATGTTAGAAGATTATTTGCTCAAGTGGATATGGTATATGCAAAATATTTTAGTTATTTTAATTGTTCTGTTACTTACATAATCAGTACCAACCTTTGTCTTGCTCCGCTAGGCCATGAGGGACATTCCTTTCTTTTTTTTCTTAAGATTTTTGCTAAACTGAGATTTTAACTCTTTTTTCAACTGCAATGATATGATTTTTGAACCACTCTTATACATACATTCCTTTTTGTTAATTTGCTGTAAGCATTTTCTAAAACCTGAGCACATTTTCTCTCCCACTGTCTTCACTTCCTTTTGAGCAGTTGTCAATTTGGCAATATCTGAAGTTATTTTTGGTTAGCACAACGGAGGGGGCAGAGTATTCCTGACATCTAGTAAGAGGCCAGGGAAGCTGTTAAATATACAATGCGCTGGACTCTCTCCCACAGTGAAGGGCCTGATTCCACATACCAATAATAAGAAATCTTGCTTTACAGGTCTCACATATCTTATCATGGCTAAATGCATGGTTATGGGTCAGAATTTTGTTTGGAGAACATCTCAATCTCATGTGACTTCATTCCTTTTATTTATAATATTGGCCCTTGGAACCACACCTATTTTTAATTGAACCTTCTGGAACCTGCCTATTAAAGTCTAGGAATCATGACCTAACTGGATTATCCAGTTTTCCCTTCCTCAATTTTTCAGTAGCAAAATGACAATGGTCACATTATCTGTAAGCTCATGTCATGTCCATATTACTAAATAGTGCTTTGTCTGAATGACTTGTGGGTCATTTCCCTCATTGCTTTTACATGTGGATAAAGAAGAATTCATTCAGGCAAGACAATAATCATTTGTTTAATCACTGTGCTCTAAGATTGCTCTTAGATCCACAGTCATTCTTTAATAATCATTTGTTTATTCTCCAGATATTTATTGAGCACCTATCATGCTCAGAAATGGTTTTGTGTTGAAAGTTTAGCAGTGAATATGATAAAAACCCTACTTTTATGTTTAAATGGAAATCAGAAGATCCAAAATTCCCTGTCTCTTCAATCAATTTTGGATCCTGGTGTATTAGATGTTGTTAACTAAATATCATCTTCAACAACAACAACAAAAAACTAGTTAATTATAAAATAGTTGTACAAGTTTATTATTTTACACATTTTTTTCTGAAAACTCTGGCTCCTGGGAACTGCCAAGAACTCTTTCATTAATTTCTGAACTTCACTTTTTTGCATACATCTCTAGTTTCAGTTACAACTTACATGGTGTGTATTCTACAGAAGACTGACTTTGAAGTGAATTTTGAATGAATGGAAATAGAATACTTGATGAGTTGAGAGAATGTTGGGAAGAAGAACCAATCTGGCATTTAGGAAAAAAGCCATAAAAGTAAAGATGGAAACTTGTGTGAGGAAAGAGAGCAGTCATGCCTGAAATTTATTTTACTTGCTATGCCAAAAGCAAAGAAAAAAAAGGAACAAAATGGAAAGCAAAAGAGAAGGGAAGTGAAAGAACAGTAATGTATCTCTTAAGAGTAGCAGCACCTTAGGGTAATTCTTTTCCTAGGGTGTACGTTTCTATCTTTATTGAATTCTATATTTCACAGCTTATTTCTCAATAGTCATGGATGAAGTTATTGATTTCTTTTTTAGACAAGGAATGAGAAGCATAAGTGAAGGAAAGTATTACAAATTTAACATTCTGTTCTCGATACTTCATTTCATTGTGTAGTTTCTTCTCTTCCCAATGCTTCTTTTCTTAATGTATATACAAATATATGCATTCCTCTACTGTTATCATTCACTATTGTAATAAAATGTGGGAGAAAAAAATTTGATGCTCTAAAATTTTCACACTTTTGTAAATCATCAGTTTTAAGTAGTCATTTAACTTACTAAAATTGAGTTTACCAAAAGCTGATTTCTCACCTTCCTGTTCTCTTCTGTTTAGAAATAAATTGAGATTCCACTAAGGATTTATTATTGTAAAAATAAAAATAAAAATATGGCCACAAATATTTTAAAATGGTATATTTTCTGGAATTATTTGAAAGTAACAGAAATTCTAATAATAGAGCTTACAAGTGACTTCTTGTGATGATTTTTGAGAAAAAAATTTTTTTCTTCAAAGTCTTAGTGGTACTGACAGTTTGCAATGGAATTGCCTTGTTATGCAAGCAAAACAAGGAGGAATCATTTCCATTTCTATTTTCAAATCCAGGCTTTCCCATCTATAAGCATTCTAAATGTGGTCAGATTTCTTAGTCTCCATGAATTTGCATTTCCTCAACTGTGAATTAGGTAAAAACATTTATTTCACAGAGTTATTACAGAAGCTAAGTGTGATAAAACAGTTTAGTGCTTGTCACAGAACTTACGTAATAATAGGATGTTTCCCTTTCTTCATGTCAGGCCTAGACTATCATTTCTCATTTCATAGAAAAAAAAATTGTGAAAGATCCTTAAAGATCATCTGGTACGTCACACATCTGATACTTGAACAGTTTATATAATGCTCCCCTGGTTAATAGCCTATGTTTTGAAAGCTGTAATAAAATATAAAGTAAACAGACATTTGTAAAATGTAAAGTAAAATAGAAAGGCAATAGACATTTGTGAAAATTATGCCGAAACACAAGATTTTCACCTTTACAGATAGAAATGGCCTAATATTGGCAAATTTCACATGAGCCAATCTGATATACTATAAATAAAAAGCAAGTCCCATTTTCTTAAACAATTTTATATGACAAAACTCTGAGATAACTTGAGATGGTTACACTGTGGATGTGATTTTATAAGCTGCTAAAAACATTAGAAAAACACTACTAGAGAAATTGTAAAAGCTGTAGTTTATAGGCCAAATCCTTACTATGGAATACACTGCTCCTTTTTGTAAAGACTATTGAGTAAGAATTGGTTTTACATTTTTAAATGGTTAGGAGAAAATTGGAGGAAGTACAATACTTTGTGACACATGGAAATTATATGAAATTTAAATTTCAGTGTCCACAAATAAAGTTCTATTGACACACAGCCTTGCTCCTTCATTTACATGTTTTCTAAGTCTGTTTTGTGCTGCAAAGATAGAGCTGAGTAGTGAAGACAGACTCAGTGGCACATAAAGCCTAAAAGCAGTCTGTGGCTCTTTGCAGCAAAGTTTTGCTGACCCCTGCCCTAGAGTCCTGCTGCTCGCATTCAAATACCCACACTACCACTTCTTGGCTGTGTAATGCAGGCAAGTTACTTAGATTTTCTGAGCCTTAGTTGGTACATTTTTAAATGAGCATAATTGTAAATGCCTGATATATCACAAGTACACAATAGATGTTACTGTATGCCCATAACTACTAGTAATATACATATGGGCAGCATTATAAAATATAAAAATAAAACTACAGAAGTTAGAAAACTCTGATGGGTTATGATTGTTGCCTCCATCACCATATCATGATACAAGGTCCAAAAAATAGTTAGCAGGGTTCTGGGGACTTGAATAGCAAAATGTAGCCACTTGCTCACATAAATGATTTTAATATCTAAGTATCA